ATGCAGAAGGCAATGCTCCCCGCTACCACCCGCATCGTGCGCCGGTTGCTTTCCCATTCCCCTAACCCTCGGCCGTTTCGTTTCAACTGGCTTTTAATTATTTCTATATTATTTAATTATTAATGTTAAATAGCATAAAATAATTTCATAACAAACAGATGAGAATACCCCATAAATGCCCCAATATAATAATGTCCTCCAAACCGAAATTTCTGTCACTGCGGGCAGTTTAAGGATCACATGCAGTCCTCGTAGTTCGATGGGACTGAAATTAAATAAGATCGGAGACATAGATTAGGTACACAGATTTACGTGCTTTCCAGAACATTGGGACCCCACCAAATTGGTGGTTTGGCGATTTTCCAACCAGGGCTCTTTAAAACTTTTTGACAGAACAACCCTATTGATAAAGGCCTGACCCGGGTTTCGAACCCGGGACCTCCTGAGCAGCAGCCGCGCTTACGACCACTAGACCAACGACGTTTAATTAAATTAAAATATCAAATTTTTCTTGTCGATTATCTCCTAAAATAACGTTGCGCATCACAGTTGATGTCTGGTACTAGCACTAGCGTCATCTATTATCAAAAAGAAGAACTAAGCCAATTAAAGCCAATTCAATATTTTGGAATTTTGAAATTTTGAATTGGCGATACAAGTGAAGTTTCGGAGCAAAATAAAGTGAAGTAAAGTGATCATTTTGATTAATTATTAGTTTGTTTTAAGTTTTATTTGGTGTGCGGTAATTAAAGTGTCAATTTTGGTAATTCAATCGGCAGTTTTTTATTCAATTCAGTTCAATTGGTGTCAGATGTGGGATAAAATCATGCCAATTTTACCTAAGGACGAAACGGAGGGTGTCCATACCTGAAGTCAACGCCATCAGGAGACGGAGCAGAGACGATTTGGTGATGCAACGCCGCAGACATCGGAGGGCCAGCCACCAGCCACGGAGGCCGGCCCGTCCGTAGCTCCTACATCTGGAGCACCTGACTTAGGTGCTCTGATGATGATGGTGCAGGAACAGGCCCGTTGATTGAAAGAGTAGCAGGAGGAACATGCCCGTCGACAGGAAGAGTTGTTCAACATGAAAACCGCCTGTCGGAAGCTAAAACCCGAATCCAGAAGTGAACAATCGGGTTGACAACATCATGGCTGACGTGAAGAAATTACTAGACGAACTCAAACTTGAGGATAAAATTAGAACTCCCGTAGTAGCTACTACACTCTCGCTATGCGGATTCAAAGTGCCGCCATTCGACGGGACTTCTTCATGGTCGGCTTAAAAAATCCAGTTCGAGGCTGTAATGAAGCCGAACGGCTAGAATAAAAATCAGACCATGTCTGCTCTCACACTTAGCCAGCGTGACCAGGCCTAAACTGTTCTGGAAGTTCTCAGTAAGGAAGCGACTTACGAGCAGATCCTTGAGGCATTGGAGGCTAGATATGGCGACGCTCACCAGGAACACGTCTTTCGTGCGCAGCTTAAAGATCGCGTGCAACGCATCAACGAAAACCTGCAGCAGTGGGCCCTTGAGGCTGAGAAGCTGGTTCGAAAAGCGTACCGGTCTGTACCTGCGCTTATTAAAGGTATCCTGGTGCAGACATTCATCGACGACATCAGACACCTTAAAGTAAAAGCTCCTGTGACGCTCGAACACTACGAAACGCTTAAGGACACCTTGTCTCATGCACTGGAGATGGAAGCCGTGTGGCAGGATCATCGGTCCCATCGCATCAGGGAGGTTGCAGCAGCTACAGTTTACGACTGCAGTAGAGGGTACAGCCCTAGGTGCTATGGCTGTGAGGAAACGGGCCATTTTCGATCCAGCTGCCCAAAGTGAACTATAGAAAGGCTAGATTATCTATCTCGAAAGGGTAGTGCGGCTAACAGCACTACCCAACAGCGCCAGCATCATCGTTCTCCTTGCGTTAGGGAGGTTGCAGGAGTTCCAGTTCGTGACCGCAGTAAAAGATGCAGCCCAAGGTGCTTCGGCTATGTGGAAAATAGCCATCTTCGATCAAGCTGCCATAACCGAACTGTAAAAAAGGGAAAGTGATCGATCTCGAGAGGGTAGTGCGGCTAACAGCACCGCCTAGCAGCAACAAAAATACGACTTTATTATCAAACACTGCAGCGGGAAATCGCATGACAACGCAGATGCATTGTCAAGAAGAACTTGTCCTGACGATTGCAAAAATATTACTAGGCAAGAGGGTGAGGAAGTGGTACCTGTGAGGATTCTCAGTACAGACCACCTCAGCAATGAATGGAAGGACAGCCTGCGACATGCACAGCAGGAAGATTCGGACATTAAGCTGATTCTGGAATGGATGAAGGCCAGAGCTCTCAAGCCCAATTGGAGCGATGTCTCTGCGATGAGTTCGACCACGAAAAGCTATTGGGCCCAATGGGACAGTTTGCTGACTCAGGATGGAGTCCTGTACCGTAAATGAGAAAATCGTCGAGGAGATAGCTGTCATTTGCAAATGGTTGTCCCTAAAGCTAAAGTGCTGGATATTCTACAAATGTACCATATAGATTGTTCAAGAATCTGGGAGTTAAACGAACTCTACTGAAGATCCGAGAACGGTTTTACTGGGTCCATTATCGTGACGATGTCGATGAGTAGTGTCGCAAATGTACAAGTTGTGCGGCTGTGAAGGAACCTCAGACTCGTTGTAGAAGTACAATGAAATTGTACAATGTTGGTGCACCGTGGGAGATGACAGCTATTGACGTTGCGGAGCCGTTTCAGAAAGGTGCAAGATGTACTCCCAAGATTGTCCATGTGGATTGACTAGCGCGTTATTATGGGGCCGATAATGCTCGGGACGAGCATGTCTTAAGAGGGGGCAGTGTTGTGCGCCATAGTTGATGTCTGGTAAATTTCACTGGCGCTATCTACTATCAAATAGAAGAACTAAGCTTTCTAGAAAACTCCACACTCGAATTTTCTACAACTAGTTGGTCGGGACCCGTATTTACTGGAACATTCTAGATGTTTCTGTGGAAAAAACCTATATAAATCCGTAAGGCCGCGACCCAGAAGTATTGAATTGGTGACACAAGCGAAGCTTAGGAGCAAATAAAGTGAACTAAAGTGATCAATGTGATTAACTATTAGTGTATTTTAAGTTTTAATTGGTGGGCGGTAAATAAAGTATCAATTTTGCTAATTCAATCGGCAGTTCTTGTTGTCACGAATCCTAAGCTCGTAACAATAATCTCTAATTTAAAATATATCATAATTATTATTAAATAATAAAAATTAATTAAGCTAAATAAGTTCAGTATAAGTTATGTGGTTCATATGGCGCATCCTCCAAATCATTTACTGACAGTGAATAAAGAAAGAACCTCCTTAAGAGAAGAAAATGGAGAATAAAGAAAATCTAGTAACTATAGACCAGTTAATTACAGACCATATAACTATATAAGTGATATTTATATAAGTCATAATACTATGCTAGAGAGTCTTCACATATTATGTTATAGAGTTATTTAGATACAAGCGAAAATTGTATGACTTTTATTGTATTGAAATAACAGCGAAGTATAAAAAAACAGAGTACTGTGGAGGCTTTTTTTGGGTACTGCGAAATTTTTATACCTTCACGAAAATTATATTTGTCACTTTTAAGTTCTTCTACGATTCGCATTTTCCCAAAATTTACGAGTAACCTAAGAATGATTTTCTTTAGCTTTTTGCGCCTTTATCCTTTACTTTTTTTATAATAGGAATATTGTAGGATATTTAGATTTGCAATAGAAATAAATTATGTTTCCTTAACGTATTAGAGCCATGGTGTAGCTATATTACATTTTCAGCACAAATGGGTCGGCTCAACGGGGGCAGGACCACACTCTCACAGAATACCAGTGTAAAATAGCAGTGTAATGCTGCTGTGTTTTGTATGGTGAGTGTGCAGAACCAGAGACTCTTTTTACTTAAATAGAGATATTCCATCTTACTCCTCATGGGTGAAAACACATTTGCATTTTGATCCTTAATTGATAATAAATGTGAATGTCTATGAGCCACAGCATCCACTTACTATCAGGTGGACTGTGTGTTCATTTGACACCCAATACTATAAAAATAATTAAATAATTTTTTTATTACTTCGTATATATTACGTATTCAAATGTATCTTGACCATTTTACTAGAAAAATTGAGGATATGTTTATGGCGTTGCTAATTTTAAGTATGTTTCTATAAGTTTTCTACGGTCGTGTATAACCTCTCATTTCCCTTACCGAAATTCAAAGGAGCTCCAACAAAGCTTTGTTTTGCATCGCTCGCTAGACGAAAGCTCCTGAAAGGCTGGCTTTTTAGATAAAGTTCTATTATAAATTTTCAGGATATAATATATTTTTAAGGTTAATATTTTTCAGTATGTAAATGAAGACAACTGTTACAAAATACATTTAAACTTTGATATCAATTCTACGTATTAGTAAAGTTTCATACTAGTCCCATGGCTGGGTACAGGCCTCTTATTTCTGCGTATGTTATAGAGCATTGTTAGTCCGCCTGGCTGCTCCAATGCGTGTTGGTGAACAACACATTTCATGCCTTTGAAATATTTATATTGGAAATTCATACAGGTTATTTTTCGTATCGAACCCAGGTGCTGTGAAATTTACTGCGAACGCTTATCATATGAGCTACAACGGCATTATATATAAATATATATATATATATATATATATATATATATATATATATATATATATATATATATCGGTGCGGCTGTTTCCGCTTGATAAAGCTACATAACTTTCTCTTTTTAAATCAAATAATTATAAATATGAAGTATATACTAGTTTTAAATAAAAAAATATTTAATGACTTACCGTAGTAAGTTATTAAATATTTTTTAATACTGCCTCAAAATATTATGCCTCTTAAACATGTAAATATTGTAGGAAAGTAAAATATTCAAATATATTCTGTTATGATATTTCGTACAAAACATATTTAACAGTAAAGTTTCAATCAATAGTTGATGATTTTTTTCTTTCAGACTTACCTATGACAGACAATCGTATTTGAAAATTTCGTGTCGGAGAATTTTTAAAATCAACACGGCAACGATAAACGCCTTCATCGTCTAGTTGTACAGTGTCCAAAATTAGCGCAGCCGGGCGTGCCACCGTCGCAAAGTAAGCACGTGGCCCAAACACGTTCGGATCCGACCATTGTAGAGCTTTGTTAAAAGATCGACCCCGGACGTCAAAACTGTAACAATTTATACAATGTTAAAATATCTTAAGCGGTGTTAGTTTTCCATTAGATGTAACAAAAACTATGTTTTTGAAACATAAAATATTTTTTAAAATTTCATACTTATCTAAGATACTACTTACATAAGCGAACGAAGTAAATATTTTTCAAAGTGATTAGGACAAAAATAACAAAAGTATTTAAAAGGTACATGGTCAAGTACAATGATGGTGACATTAACCATTATAGACATAACGACAAATAAACATTAAAATATTTATTTTCAGTTAAATTTGTTTGATATTTTTATAGAAACGAACTCACAGTCCACCTGCCGAATGGCAAGTGGCTACAGCCCATGGAAAACTACACAGATATAGTTTTCCTACACAGGGTACATTTCTGTGATTTTTCAATGTAAGTCCATTGATTGATACCACATTTCCTTGAAATATTTACAGTTTTTAAGAGATGCAGGTTTCTTCACGTTAGTTGATTGCCGAAAAATTTTAAATTCACATTTAAAATTACAATTAACAATTTAATCGGTACCGAAGGGGATCAATTCCAGCTGCAGTTGTATAGTCAAGTTGCCATCTACACGCGCAATGCAGTCTGGGATAGCTTTGCCCAGTATTTTAAAGTTGCTTCACGTTTATGAAGTCAATTCCTTGGCAATAAATTTTGCTGGATTAAAATATACAGCAAAAGTATCGCTAGCAATTACTGTTGAGCTATAGTAATCATCAAGACACCAAGCCTCAAAGCAAGATATATAATTTATAGCCCGTTTACGGATCTTGTAGGCAAGCGCTCCTTATCGGAATTACTACGGCTCAAATCATACATTTTTGTATTTGATATTTATCTTAATTTAGTGAAAATACAAAATTCTACAACGTAAGACTGACAAACGAGCTGCCGGTCACCTGATGGAAAGTGGCTTCGGGAACAGCAAAAACATAAAGTAGTGTGCCCTGAGTGGAGATGAATTTAGGGGAAAAATTGACTTATTCCGCCTCGCACAGTAAGTGCTTGTTTGTTTGTACCCTCGTCGACTATCACGATAACGTTACAATTTTTTTTTATTTCTACCATGCCTTGAATTTTTAATGAATGATTGTAATTATGAGGTTTAAAGAACTCTATAATCTTAATGATAAGTGGAGTAAATTAGAAAAGCAGCAATTAATTATTAAAAATTGAAATTTAAAATGTCTAGTTTTAAGGACCAAAATGTAACTACACCTAATGCGTAAAACCTTATTGATTGTACTGCCTTAAGCGCGTTTTACTGTTAAAGATTGAAAATCGAAGAAAAATGGACATTTAGAACATACTTTCGAAGTTTTTAAATTTCATCATCATTCGTAATTTTAAGTAATATGATAGAAACTGTACATTTTTATAGGCAAATCTTTTTCAAATTTTCTGTTCATTGCAAACTAGACCACCACGTACAAAGGTATTTCACAGTATATTTTTCTTATTTCCTCTTTACCATACCATAAATACTCACGCCTGTCACCCAGAGGGGTAGGCAGAGACCACAGATTTCCATTTGGCACGATCCTGACAGACCTCTCTCGCCTCCTTCACATCCATACACCAACGCATACATGCTCGTCGGTTAAGGGTACTCCTAATTTAGCCCGTTTCCAATAAATCACCAATTTGGTCGATAAATTTTCACCTAGGACGTAACTTTCCGACTCTGCCATTCACTTCTGCAACATAAATTTTCTTTGTCACTCTTTCCTCATTCATTCTTTCCACATGACCAAACCACCGAAGCGTTCCTTTCTTAATCCTGGTCACAACATCATCTTGCAAACCACACTCTTCTCTTATTACACAATTTCTTACCCTGTCATTCAGATTCAGCCCTAACATACTCCTTAACGACCGCATTTCTACTGCGTTTATTCTACTCTCGTGCTTCTTCTGCCACACCCAACTTTCACTACCATACGTTAAAGTAGGGACCAACACAGCATTGTGAATTGCCATACGTGCCTTTTTCGACACATTTTGACTCTTCACAATAGAGTGCAAGGCCCCATTTACTCTATTTCCCGCATTCACTCGTCATTCTATATCCTCATCATATCTCCCATCCCTGCTAAATACGCAGCCCAAATATACAAACTCATCTACTTGCTCGATCAACTCCCCTTCTATTCTTATTTCACAAATCGTTTTACTTTCTTCTCTTTCAAAAACCATAACCTTCGTCTTACTTGCGTTCACTTTCATACCCCTTTCTTTTAATGACCCGTTCATTAATGTAACCATCATTTGCAACTCCTCCCCACCTAACGCTGCAGCCGAGGTGGAGTCGCGGAGGAAGAGGAGTGTTGGTATGGCGATGCGCCACTCGCCCTATCCTCCGCGACTCAAACGGGGCCGCACCGTTGATGCGGTGGTGATGGGGCTGCGGAGGGAGAGGATTGTCGGTATTGTGAGGCGCCGCTCTCCCTATCCTCCGCAGCCGAATCTTGGTTGGCGGCGGAGCCATAGACCAGATCCGCCGCTGGGGTCGGGAAGGCTAGTACTTCTAAGTGCTCGTTTTTCCTGGCCCCATGGCCTTCGCGCATCGGACGCGGGGGCGTCTGTTGCGCAGATGTAATTGGAGGCCGTGGAGGAAGGCGTGCCATGTGTTCTGGTGCGCCTTACTTGGGAAGGAGAACGGGGAGGAATATTCCTCTCCCGATGAGATGCTGCCATGGGACGGCAGTCGCTGGTGGGGCCGCGGATGAATGCGAAAGCGTTCCCGTAGCCCTGCCAATATGCGACGAAGGTGGAACACCATGGGGTTTTAGTCGGTGCGAGTCCGACATAACCCGTCCTTGCCCCCGCGAGGCGGGTATGCGTAGGCATTTCCCCATGTTAAAAAAAAAAAGGAGTATGTTAGGGATGAATCTGAATGACAGGGTAAGAAATTGTGTAATAAGAGAAGAGTGTGGTTTGCAAGATGATGTTGTGACCAGGATTAAGAAAGGAATACTTCGGTGGTTTGGTCATGTGGAAAGAATGAATGAGGAAAGAGTGACAAAGAAAATTTATGTTGCAGAAGTGAATGGCAGAGTCGGAAAGGGACGTCCTAGGCGAAAATTTATCGACCAAATTGGCGATTTATTGAAAACGGGCCAAATTAGGAGTACCCTTAACCGACGAGCATGTATGCGTTGGTGTATGGATGTGAAGGAGGCAAGAGAGGTGTGTCAGGATCGTGCCAAATGGAAGTCTGTAGTCTCTGCCTACCCCTCTGGGTGACAGGCGTGAGTGTTTATGTATATGTATATGTATATGTGTCCTTTCACTAGACAGGCAGATTGACGACAACGAGGATTTTTTTCGTGGTATGGCTACGCTGCAGCAATACTTGTCTGCAGTAAAAATTTATTTTAATTATTTTATTTATTTATTTTAACAATAAGTGACAGTATAAAGAACACAGGTAGTTGCAGGCCCTAAACTAAGCGCAGCTTGTATCTCAGGACCCTGGCATGCGATACAAAACGGTTTGTAACTGGACCTCATTTACATCGAAATAGTGTTATTATTACGTGCTCGTCATCGGCCTTTGAAAGTAATGCTAATATACAAAACTAAGGAAGTATTGTTTTACTACATAAATAAATTTAAAATAAATAATAGCGCCTGCAAGAGATGATTCCGCAATAGTTGGAATAGTAATGATTACGCCCGGGTCTGGTTTTGTGTGCGTGCGTGCGTGCGCGCGTGTTGTGTCTGTGTTTGTGTGTGTGTGTGTCTGTGTGTGTGTGTGTGTGTGTGTCTATGTGTGTGTATATTATGTGTAATTAAATTAGCTCTTCAGTGACGATCTTTAAAGGTCAATTTTTTTTAAATATATTGTTGTACTCGTAGAAGAAAGAATGTGAGAAGGTAGAACAACGTGTGGCCAGGTTTGACTTTACGATTTACGATTTTTAATTCATTGTAGTCCGGGCGACATCTAACAGTTTTGTGCACTTTGAGTGTGGCATTGTAAATAAACAGCAACACACACACACACACACACACACACACACACACACACACACACACACACACACACACACACACACACACACATACACTTTTTTACCTGTAAATTGGTTTTCCTCCGGTAATTTTGCCTGCTCTGAACCAGAGTACCATATAAACGCGATCTTCATTTGTATCAGGTGTGATGTCACATGGTAATGACGCTGTACGTCCCAGTACCGCATCGACATCCACAGTTGATACTGTAAATAAGAAAATTGCATTTGTATACATACAACATGATTTTATAAACATGAGATGGATAGCTATACATTAAATTTAAAGTTATATTTACAGCCGAGCACGTTGTAAATCAGCAATTAAAATTGTAATTAACAATTTCATCAGTACCGGCGGGGATCAAACACGAGTTTCTGTTATTGTGAAATTTACAGTGGACGCTAAGCTCCTGAGCTACCACGGCTTTACAATTATATAAAAATACAGACATAATACGGCAGGAAGAACTGATTTTATATGTGTATCGTTTAAATTTTGCGTCTGCCATATGACTCGAACTTAGAATTCTTTCAACATTTGACATAATATATGACATTTAAATATTTGTTTCACAAAAGCAAATTATTTCAAGAAAATTCTTTTGAGTATTTTATTTTACGTTCATTGCGTTAAGTTTCTTTACCATCTTCCTTTTCCAATGGGAATACGAGAATATGAAAATAAATAGCCGTAATATTAAATGTACTGCAGTAGCACCGCATGAAATAATCTTCTTTTCTTTATGGCGTTAGTGTCAACGTACTGAAGCCGAGTAATATTCACCATCAGTCATACTTAGCAAGAAAATTTCAATTTACTTGCGAATAAGGTTATATCCAAATTGCGCCAGATTATTTGCTGTGATGATTTCATGTTTGTTTCATTTATTTTATAATACCATAAACTAAAAATTTACATTTTAATCAAAGGAAAATACTGTTTTCATATAATATTATCTTTTTAACAATTTAGATTGACAATCATAGTAACACCGTATTTTAAGAGAAAGAAAATAGAAGAAAATTCAAATGGAAACTCATATTATCTTGCGCGGTTACGCGCAAAAATTTTTCTGACTGGTCTTTCTTCAATGCTGTTTCTTCTGCACATATTGCAAACCGGTAACATTCATTGTTATGCAGATAACAGCACTGGTAATGTTCTGTACGCCGGCCCTGCCAATATTTCTCGGGAAAACGTCTCCGAGTACCGGGACAAACTTGTGTTTGAAGTCGAGTCCCTGCTGAACAAAGTCTCGGATTGGGGGCGACTAAATCTAGTCCAGTTTAACCCTCAGAAGACACACGTTTGCTGCTTAACCGCTAAAAAGAACCCTTTTGCCGTATCTCCTTAGTTATTAGGCACTAACCTTGTTGCCTCCGCCAGTGTCGGAATCCTCGGCTTCGACATGTCGAGTGATGTGCAGTTTCATGGTCACTTGGAAGAGAAGGTCAAATTGGCCTCTAAAATGCTTGGCGTGCTCAGCAGAGCGGAACAGTATTTAATGCCGATACATCGCCTGCAACTTTACAAGGCGCAGGTTCGGCCGCACATGGAATACTGTACCCATCTTTGGGCTGGGGCCCCCCAGTGCCATATTATTCCATTCGAACGCATCCAGAGAAGAGTGGCTCGAATCGTCGACGACCGAGTTCTTTCTGATCCGCACGATTCACTGGCGAAATGATACTGCATAGGGTGTTGCATCCCTATGCATTTTCTTTCGCATATACCATGGGAGTGCTCTGAGAAATTGTTTGTATTAATCCCAGCCGCCAAATTTCAAGAACGCACTACGCGGCAAACCTCCCAATACTATCCACACCATCTGGATGCTTGGCGGTCCACCACTGTACACTTCACTAGGAGTTTTCTTCTGCGTATGATCTCTCTGTGGAATAGTTTACCACCGGCGATTTTTCTGGAACGATACGACTTAGAGACCTTGAAGAAAAGACCTTACTCCTTTCTAAAAGGCCGGCAACGCACCTGCAATTCCCCTGGTGTTGCACTTGTTCATATGCGGTGGCAGTCACTTAACATCTGGTGGACCGTATTCTCGTTTGCCCCCTCTTCTATAAAAAAAGTCTAGAAAACATGCATACACAGGTGTTTTTCTATCCGTGTAGTACGCAATGGTTCACTTGGGCCAAGATGGCACTCTGTGTTGAAATCCCAGTTCAAAAACCGAATTGAGCATCGTGTAGCTCCAAGTGTTTTCTTAAATACGTATAATTAGACCGTCCAGTACCTTTAATAATATTGTAGCCAACGATATAGGTCTATAGGAATTTATTTCTGAGATGTCCCCAGTTTTATTTTTGAGAATTGGTACAACAATAGTCTTCATTATATTATTAGGTAGATATCTGTGTCGTAGGGACCGGGGTAAAAGGACAAACCCAACAACCTAGAAAGATGGCCACCAGCATGTTAAATATGGCTAATGATTGGTCTATAATTGGTCTCGGCAACATCCCGGCTTTATTATTTACAACCGCAACAACTATGGCCTTCTTTAGTTCCTGAGATATTCATGCCCTATACACACATTAAAGGGCATAATCTACCCTGGAATAAACTCTCGCATACTCCAAGTGCTCAATACTGAGGGTATCATAGGCCGGTGAGTTAACACGTATCATATTTTTATGACATTTACAACTTCTTTCGCAGTAAATCTAGTTCACTACATAATATATCCTTAACATCGAACATTCGCTGCATCGATTCTGGAGAATCTGCTTTGAAGTGTTTCCTAAAAACTACTGCAATATGATAGGGCTTACATTTACCATCGATATTTACAGAAAAGAATTATGCAGGTTCCAGTTTCCTAGTATGTCCACAGGTTCCAAAAACCTACAAAATTATTATCTTTACGTTGAGTAGGCAAGATATCCAATTTTATTTGCTTCAAATTGTTTTGGAACAACTTAAGCTTTGACTTAAAACGCATTCTGTCATTATACAAACACGCACTGGGCTCACCATACAGCAACCACATTTGGAAATTGCATCGTATCTCTTGATGGACCTCCCTTACGTACCTATTCCATATTTATATCATCAAGATTTTAATTTTGATAACACAATTTAAAAATGTTTTTACTATATTATATAAAAATACTAAAGAAGTCAAACATCAAGTAGAACAAGGAAAAAAGATAAGCTTACGCATCGGAAAAATATGTTTCCAAACGCTTCATTAATAAGTAGTTATACGGGTATAATAAAATAGCTAATCTCTAACTAGAGAAGCCAAAAACAGATCTTAATGTCTTTTGTTCTCTCCATATATCATACTTTTTCCTCTCGCCTTGAAGAAATATGAGGGGTGGTTACGTGCGTGACAGGCTTTCGGGACTGATATTAATAAAATTATTGTGGAGACACGTAGCGAACGTCGGGCCTGACCTACTCATCAAACACGCGCAGTTTCTGAGCCGCAAATAGCTATGCATTACATCATTGTATCCTCGTAGTCAAGTAGTAATGACGGATTTATTATATTTCTTTAATGTTTTTAATTCAATTTTTTTTTTACTTTTGGGATTTTACTTGCGTTCTTCCAAATCACTGTTAAAAGTAACAGGAGTAGCTAAAACATTATTATGTATATTTTCTATAAAAATGCTGTTTGCCTACTTGAGTAACCCATAATATTTAGTTTACTACTAACGTAATACTAAGAAATTTATATTTGTAAAAAAGTGCTATGCAAACAAAAATCCGGCCAAGAGCGTGTCGGGCCACGCTCAGTGTAGGGTTCCGTAGTTTCCCGTCCGTCACAATAAGTGTTCCCACTTGTGAGTTCAAAGGTGGGTATCCATTATGTTCGCGCTCCAGCAGCGCTCCGCGCTCCTGCAACTGCTCCCGGTAGTGGGTACGTGCGCGAATATGGAGCGTGCAACATTGCACGCTCCGCGGCAGGCGCTCCGACTCGTGATGGTTTTTAGCGCGAACACAAAGGGGAGCGCAGTGTGTCAAAGAGCGTGTAGAAGAGCGCACGACGTATCCATTGGAGCAGTTGCAGGAGCGTGGAGCGCCGCTGGAGCGCGAACATAGTGGTAACCCAACTTAAAAAGGCTATTTGTTACGGAACTCTAATAATTACGAACACTAAAAAAGGGACCCACAAAGACGGTGATAACTAAAAAAAGAGTTATAGATTCCAACCACACATGGAAAGTTCGAGAAAATGTTGTCTATTTGAGTCCCACCAGGAGTAGTGGGTAGGGGTTGTAACATGGAGTGATAACCAGCGTCATTTAGTAATTTAAATACTGCAGTATTGCTGTTACTAAGGTAGTCGTCGTTAAAATCTCCAAATATAATGCAAGAACTATTATGCGACAGTAAATTATTTATAAAACCCACCGCGACGCTGTTGGGGCATTTGCATGATCTATATAAGGCTACTATTTTCACATTATTTACTTCAAAAGATACTGCTTCACAGTGCTCAGTTCCGGAAATTTCACTGTAAGATCGTGGGTTGGAATATTCTAGGTTATGTCTTATCATTGCAGATACACCAAAGCCGGGGTTTGCAGAATACTGTTTCGGGCCATTTTTTCGAACTATTTCTTCAAAATTATACATATTGAATAAATCTTGAAGGCAACTCCAAGTTTCTACGGCTAAATAAATGTCACATGCCATCGTCTGCGATCGGTTACTACTTCCTGCAAGTGTTTACGTAGAGATTGCACGTTATGGAACAAATTTGGCAGGAACTGCGGGGCTCTCTTAAAAAGCGATATGTGGGAATCAGGGGATTTAATTTTAATTTTCGCATTTCCGTTACGACGGAATTATGCTCAGATGGTGGACGTGGAGGACGAAAGGTCTCGGTAACAATGAATAAACCTTGAGCGCTAGTGGCACGTGAGCAGGCCACGTATAACATAGATCTTAAAATATTGGGCTTTAAATATACTACAACTTTTTCTAAGGTGGAACCCTGATTTTTTTGTATAGTAACAGCTTCAGCGGGAACTAGTGGGAATTGACTGCGACGCACTTGTAAGTTTGAAGATTTGTACCTTTTCACAGTGTACGTAACTGGTTCTATTGGAGTCCAATTATTTTTTAACCGTGTTTGATAACGAGTGAGGGATGTTGAGCTCTGAATTCTTTTTAATTTGCCTATTTATGATGACGTAACATCGAAACATATCCAAATGCGTAATGGTCTTCTCTCACCGGTAGTTGGATTGACTGCAAAATCAATCGCAGTCAGTACCTCCGTGGTTCCATTCACTAGTCCGTCTGACGTGTTAATATTTACTGTCATCATATATTTAGCCGTGACTTTTAAAGTTATAGCATTAGGTAATCCGTAGGTTTGAGACGTAGGTAACTTGGCAACTGTGTTTAGAGCTTTTTCTTTCATAGCAGTATTAGCTTCGCCACTTACTCTATCCACAGCCCATGATATCGCTCCTTCGGTAGTCATATTTGAGAGTATTTTAGAATTATGCTCATCAACTTCTCGGTTACTGCTGAATAGATGAACTGCGCCCTTACACGTGTCTGGAAGTGATGAGTTCCTAAAGCACCGACCTTCAATTAAATTGACATCTTCAGGTGACATACATCCACTAGCCATATTATTTAATGCCGTTTCAAAGGCAACATTATCCCTTTGACGCATTATTTCTTTAAGCTCTGTCAGTACAAATAAATCCCAAAGCGGCGTACCTGCTATTTCTGCTAAAGGATTTTGAGACTTAGCTTGAAACACCCAGTTGTCGCCAACAGGTGGTAATTGTCTGAAGTCTCCAGCTACTATCACTGAAATTCCAGAAAAGAAGGTAGAAGAATGAAATATTTGCTGTAGTCTACGATTTATTTGATGGAATGTCCTGGATCCTAGCATTGAAATTTCATCAATTACAATTAAACGTAGTTTTGCTAGATTTGTGGCCAGAGTATTGGCCACACTTGGCGACAGCTCTGGTAAAATATTGCCCGCTTGAGACACTGGAAGTCCAAGTGCGCTATGGATTGTTTTCCCTCCTATTCCGAATGCAGCTTTACCGGTAAAAGCTGTTAAAAGTATTTTTAATTCATCGGGATAACTACCAGCTTCTCTGTTAAATAAGAGAGTTAGGCATTGATAAATTGCTTTAATCAGAATACTTTTGCCAACGCCAGCCCCACCACTGATAAATAAATATAGTGGATGTGGAGAAGTAATGGAAAAATGTTGATAAATATGAAATAACGTGTCTATTTGGGCATCATTTAGTTTTCTAGTTAGAATCAAAAAATCATCATGGCACAAGAGAGGTGGTTGCGCAATGAAAGTTGAGGGGTCACCTCACAATTGCGGCCCGAGATTACCGCCTGGAATGAGGTCTTCTGCTATATCTACTGTTTGCGTCTCAAATTCAAAGCCTTCAAATACATCCACGTTGACTCCTCTTCCTTGCAAATCTTCTTCTTCGTTTATTAATTCTACATTTCTTATTTCTTTTAGCAGTGTTTCAAACATTTCAGCATCACCAAGTTTATTGAATTGTTTATTTTCGGCTTTTATTCTTTCTTTATACTCGTCAAATATGTCCTTTATATTTATGTTGGGATTTAGTAATTCTTCCTCCTCGCTTCGCCAAGGGATGTATAGCATTATCTGTTCCCTATAGAAATTGTCTGGATTATCAATGTAACTGTACCGGCGAAATCGTATTACTCGAGTTTTAGTTCTTTTCCGTATGTATCCTAAATTATCTTGCAAAGGAATCCAATTCCCTTCCGCTTCAACTTCTTCAACAGCCTAGGAATAATCGATTGCTTGAGAACTGTCACTGAGAGTTTCTATTGAACTAGCTGAATGAGTTTTTTTTGGAATAGGTGTCATATGCTACAAAATGGGAAAGACTTGTGTTTTCTAACGATAGTGGTCGTTTTGAATGATAATCAATAATACCCTTTTGGAATATATCGGAAGAATCAGGTTCGAGGATTTACAATTCAAGGTAACTTTTTAAAATATGCACTCGCTCTTGTGGCAAACTAGTGTTTATTATAGCTTCACTAGCTCGTGACAGCGGTAAACCAGTGAGTACATAGATTGTCTCCTGAGCAGAGATCTCACTAGAATTTAAGAATACATTAGATACCATTCTTAATGAATCTTTAACACTTTTATTTCCATTTTTAGCTTCGTCTAAAGCTTCACGCAAAAGACGAGACATCCCTCGGTTAACCTTGTTAATATAGTCAACAATATATACTGCGCACGAAAACGGGTCTAATATGAATTGGATGTCCATGTTTGCTTTGTGCAAAGCTAAGATTTTTTACTAAAAGGATTAATAAATATATCCTGAGGTCTGCGTTGAAGGACTACCGTAGGTCATTTTAAGGTGCTTCTAATAGCCAATATGCAATCTTCATAACTAACTCTAATCCAGTCCAAAAAATCAACGAAAGTGTATATTCCTGCAGGAATATTTTGTATTTTTGGCAGATGTCTTTTGCCAATTGTTTTGACTTTTTGAACTCTGGATCGTCTTTTGAAAGTTCTATTAATACTTTTGTTTTATCCATGGGGAAAAATGGTATTCCAAAGCGACACAGTCTATCTGATGTTGGCCGGCATGTATGTGTATGTTTATGTAGTTGTAGACGTCTAAGTTCATCAGGTACTTCAGTGCTGTTATAGGAAATAATATTGTCAACAAATTTGGAAATATCATGAGCAGATGCTGTATCACCGGGTACAAAAGTGGGCGCTTCGTCTAACCATAACATCATATGAGAATGGGACGATCCTCTATGCTGAAACTCAATGCGATAATAAAAGTGAGTGATTTTATAATTTAAGAAAGGTCCAGATGAACAGGACCAGGTTTTTTGAATTTCTTTTAATTTGATTTCAAAATATGTGGCGCAAATGAACGGATCGGATCGTATAAGGCGAGTTTTTGTATCGTATGGCAAGTTTTCCGCTTCAAGCTCAGTAAGTTTTTTCTTATCAACTACTTCACTAAGCAAAATTAATAATGGAATCCATTGCACTTCAGCAGCAGATATAGTTAAAAATAAAGTGGGAACACCAAACTGTCTACTGAAACTGTGAACTGTCTTTTTTTCACTTTCTCAGTGAGCAGGAGAATTTCTAATTCCTCCAAGGACACGATACCCATCGTCATGTTGAACTAAATTGTCAACAAAATTATTTTGAAGGACATTACATGCAAATACAGTGGCACCTCTGACAGTTCTTTTGCGTAAACATGTCGTAACATTATTTTTGACGGCAATAGTTTGTTGCTTTTTCATGGCAGTAAATAGGTAAACAGGTCTTACAGCTCGCCTGCCATTTATGGAAATTTCTGAACTTGTGACTTCGGAATGACTTAAGTTCACGAGGTATTTTCGCTCAATAGCGCAATGTACTTTTATGAAAGCCAGCTCTTCCGGATATCGATCAAAAAGCAAAGAAATTGGCCTTTCACCTTCTCCTGGAGCCATAACTATTATTAGGTCTTGGTTTTCATCTAACAGAGTTTCTGTGCCACCAGGATTTACATCAGAGATCTCATCAACATTGCTCTCCTGCTCAGGTGAACTACAGGTACATTCGACAGTGTCTTCAGGTTCATTATTTGTCCATGAACCTTCAAGTTCTATACCATATGTCCGAAACAGATCACACGTTACTAAATACTCCGCTGCTCTCCGTATGATTTCCGGGCGGAATTGTTCTTTTCGACCATGTTTATAACAGAATTTACACTTCAACTCTACAGTGATGACATTGTCATCATTTATCGACCGAGGCAAAGCTTTTACCATGTTATTAATTTTTACAGGTACATTAATAACATTTCCTAATAAACCATGCTGATATCCTAATCCCTCGCCTCTACGAACTATTTTAAAAAATACGTGACGAGGACTTACTAATCTCTCTTCCATTGAAGTTAATTCATTCAAAACATCTGGAATATCTGGAAACTTCAATCCATTAGCTATTGCCAATCGTGGTATTCGCCCTTGAGTTATATATTTAGCACACGTACAGCAAAACTACGCAGATTCATCACAAGGATTTAAATTAAATACACTTAACGCGAATTCTGCATTATATTTAGTCGAAATAGAATGCTTTATTAGTTTCTTTACAGAATTTTTATGCCATAATCTACCACAACATGAACAAGGATGATTGTATCCTTCCTTGGTGTTATCAAAATATTTTCTTTTAACATTATCCAAATCATTAATAGAATTACAACGCGCCGATTGTCGAGCTCTGGTGTCTCTAGCTCGTTCAATTTGTGAATAATGTGGATCTTCGCGAGCTATTTGGTGAGTTAGGGTATCACGCCGTTGCTCTATATCACGGAAGACTAGGTTTTCCCGAGCTATGCGGTGAGCATGCGTATTTTGATGCTGTTCTGTATCCCGGAAGATAGGGTTTTCTCGAGCTAAACGATGAGCCTGCGTGTTGCGTTGTTGCTCTGCCTGTAAAATGACGGGAATCTGACGAGTGGCCCTGTGGCTCTCAGTATTTCGTATTTGCTTAGTCTGTGTGTAATCAGTATTTTTCTTCTACGTTTGGCTAGGCCGGACCCAGTATGTTCGTTGTTGGCATGTCTTAATGTAGGACTTGGTTTTTCTTGAGTACTATGCGTAAGTGCTAAACAGTCAATAGTCTGGATATCATTAGTCGGGTTTTTGTCTTTCTGTGATTCATCTGTAAATGTTGGACTTTCAATTATCTGCGTACTACCTGTAAACGTTGGACTTTCAAATATCTGCGTACTACTTGTAGACGTTGTACTTTCAAATATCTGAGTATTATCTGTAAATGTGGGGTATTCAGTGTTTTTCTTGTAATTAACTTTTTGACTTTTAGTTTCTTGAGACTGTGTCTTTTGAGATCTTTTGTTTTTTTTTTTCTTTTCTGCATCCTTAATTTTATATTTTTCTTTCTTTGCTAGTATATTAAGGAACAAATTTGCCGGTGGCCGGCCAGCTCTTCTTGCGGTGTTAGATGATGGGAAAAGTCTAATACACTTCGAGATAACATATCAAACAAATGACATCGCACGTCCTCGGCTATGAAATTGATACAGGATGGATTAACTCTCAAAGCTAAAGCGGTGGCAAAACAAATGGCGAATAGCCCACACTCAATATTATTATTTGGTTGATGTTGGACACTAGGGAAATTTTATCCAAGTATGGGAATATCCTAGTATGGGAATAGTGCGTTGACGTAAACGTGCTGCGAATGACTTAAACTATTATATAAACTATCATAGACCCGTAATATTCCATTGATGTAATAAATGCAAATCCAATGCCCCACAAACCCGACTACTCCGCCATATATAATTTGTAAATGAGACTCGTTTTGAGGCACAAGCTTATTAGTTCCGGATAAAGAAAAAGAGACACTTCTCTAGGCCGAAACGATGTGTGTTGGGCTAACAAATCATGAAAGGCGCGCACAGCGTCGTCCTCAACATGATTATTACTGTTCAAAATATACGAGAACATTTTAATACCGGACAATAAGTAATTATACACAAGTGTGTTTCACACTATTTTAACAAACTAGCCCACTTCAAATCGTAATTAGCTGGGAGTTGTACGTATCAAGTAACTGCGTACTGTGCGTATATACAAAATTAATATGAACAATATCCGCAAAAGAAGTTAATTTTACCCACAATCTAATTTAATCAAATCTCGGCGACTATTAGATTGTGCACTCATAAGATTACGAATCTGTTTAAGTGCAACTACCTTTACCACGGTAGGTCATGAAAGCATGGAAAATATTAACATCGACTTTTAAAAAAATGACGTCATTATGCAACGCCATCTATCGAACCATTTATGAACTGGTTTTTACCTTAACATTTTGATGGCGTTAAAAAAATGAATTTTAGTTTTGTTCTAAATTGCCTTAGCATGTTCCTGATAGAAGTTTTATGTTGTTATAAGATACCGCCAATGCCAAGGAGAGACCAACCGAACAATTCGATAATACCCGACCCAATGTAATAAGTACCTACAGCGCCATCTCTCGGGGAATTGGGTTACTAATTAATACATAGACGTGCCAGATGTTTTCGGTGGTAATTTTGGATTGCGAGAACCGATTTTAATAATTCTTTTTTTGTTTGAAAAAAGATACGTTCAGAATAATAAAATATGTAAACGAAGTTAAAAAAAAAATGCTTGCGTATACGATTATACTACAAACTTAGTCCAGAAATTATTTTGTACAACTTTTTGTCTTTTTTGTACAAAAACTGTTTCCATCCAAGTTTAAAATGATTTTCCTAGAAAGTCCTTACAAAGTTCTACTGTACAGATTTTTTTTATATTTTCTAAACTTGTGGTTCAAAAGTTAGAGGGGGGGGACACACTTTGTTTTTTACTTTTGGAGCGATTATTTCCGAAATTATTGACATTATCAAAAAATGATTTAAGTAAACCCCTATTCATTTTTAAATACCTTTCCAACAATATATCACACGTTAGGGTTGAAATTAAAAAAAAAATCACTTCTCAATTTACATATAGGGGGCTACCCTAATAAAACATTTTTTTCCAATTTTTATTATACCACTTTGTTGGCGTGATTGATACACATATTGGTACCAAATTTCAGCTTTCTAGTGCTAACGGTCACAGAGATTAAGCGAGGACGGACAGACGGACAGACAGACATGGCGAAACTATAAGGGTTCCTAGTTGACTACGGAACCCTAAAAAAGCGTCTTTTTAAGCGAATTTTTTTAAATTGTGAAATAATAATAACGAGAGGTGGCCTGTGCCCAGGAGGGGACGTTTATAGGCTGTAACTATAACTTTAATTTTAATCATGTTCTTTGTCCTTCACCGCCGGCCCTATAAGAAAGCTCAATATCAGTGAGATATGGAGATGGCTATGCTCGGAATTTCTCTGTGTAATAAAGTTAGATATCCACAGTAGAACCAGAGTAACCGATATAGCCCAACGGATTGGTAAGCTAAAGTAGCAATGGTCATATATATCGAAGAACCGACAACCGATGGGGAAGAAAGGTTATCGAGTGGCAGCCTCATACCGGTAGGCGAAATGTAGGGCAGCCCTCACTAGATGAAGTGACGACCTGGTAAGACATGCAGGAAGTCGATGAATGAAAGCGGCTCGTGATCGTGTTTTGTGGCATTCCTTGGGGGATGGCCTATGTTTAGCAGTAGACTTGGTTTGTGAAGGGCTGTAATGATTATGATGAATCATGCATAATTCATAAACAAAAATAATCCAAACTATATCTTTAGTAAACACAAACTTTTTCACGTAAAGCTATAATTATTACGTGTGTGTTCGAGCCATGCCACCACCCCTGTATTACATCTATGTTATTTTCATTCAAGCAATTTAATTACATTTAAATTCATTATATCCATTGATGTTACTTTTCACCTCCATGTACTTTGATTATATTCGATACACTTTATTCGGTACTGAATCCATCCATCGCGTAACCACAAAAGGTCAGGTTCTAACATTATTGAATGACTTTGGTTATACATTTGTTTTGCTGTTCAGAATTTTTTTCAATTTAAATTAATCGTCCAATAAAATTGAAGCCAAACGGAACCGATCATGCATGAATACTTTTAATTTGGTTACTTTTTTTTCTTTTTTGGTTAAAGTAGGTATGTTATGAAATTATAGCATAAAAAACATTAATTTTCAATATTAATATGATTAAGGCTTTCGAGTTGGCAACCTTGTGCTAGTAAGCGAAATGTAGGGCGGTTTCCAATTAGATGGAATGATAACCTGGCAAGTGAAGCAGGAAATCGATGGATGCAGGTGATTCAAGACAAGAAATTATAATTATACGAAAGTGTTTAGTCGGAAACAGATCAAAATCAGCATCAGAATGTTGTGCAGCGACAATATTTACTGTTGTCGCATTTAATTTGTTGCTAAAACAGGCAAATGTGCAGCTGGTGACCAGATACAAAACATTTATGATTTTGATCTGATCACACTGAACGACTAGCAAGACAACTATAGCAAATATCACCCTTATGATACAATATATGTGAGAGACCTGTGTTAAGCAGTGAACTTTGATAGGCTATATCGGTCGCAGTATAGAGCAAATGAGACTAGTGCAATTTAAGTTTGATCCAGAAACTATTACTGTTTTACAGAAAAAAGTCTTAAAAGCAATGTTGAACAAAATTCAAAATCGTAATTTTAAACAGAGAATAACTAAAAAGAATACATATATTTAATCAAGCTTCTCCCAATAACTATTTCCGAAATTTTTAACTATCTACGCAACACCAAACAAAGAGTTTAAATTAAAAAAATATTCTTTGAATATTGTAAAGCGTGTTCAACGCTAGTTATGCCAGTTACCGAAAACAAGAGCGTCAGTAATTCATTGATTGAGCAATGTTTACAACATATTCTCGAATAAACAAGGAGTTTCTGCCATCAAGTTATTATTTTTTAAAGAACGACTTCATGAAAGATAATTATTAAACACATGCATGACGCCAAAAAAATATTTATAACTAAAACTAAAAAAACAACTATAAATCACAACAACACATATAAGTGTTATATAATTTTGGAAAAAATTCAGCTGTTTTTTGCTGGCTAGCAATAGTACCAATGCTAGAACTATAATTTAAAATGAAAAAGCATCATAAATAATCTCAAGATGTTGGTCTTATACGGGAGCGTGTTATGGTATATTATATAGTAGCAATGAAGTGGCGGTGTAACAATAACCAATACCCAATATTATCCCGTGGAAATCGAA